AAGGTCAACTTCAAAATATTATTAAAATATTAAATGAAACACCCAATTTTGTATACCCGGACATATTGGTAAAAGTTTTTTTTGATCAGACGTAAAATCTAGAGCTCTATCGATTCCTGGCATAAAATACAGGCTGTTCAATTTAATATTTCCAATTTGACCTAGGTTCGACCTTGCAACTTAAAGTCAAGGTCGAATAGAAGGTCACCATCTTATAGACTTTATGATATTCTACAAATTAATATCCAACAACTTTTATCTATATTTTTTTAGTAGGACGCAACCCTGTCTTTCGTGCCTTTTCTTGGACACCCTGTATATTTCAAAATATTCTAGCACTAACAATGTTATAAAATTACTTAATTATAATCATACTGAAACATTTAAGGCTACTGAAAACATCTATATACGGACTACAGCCACAGCATAAATGTTTTTTATGCTGTGCTACAGTTTTTATACCATCGTTAATTGTTTTATTCACGGAATATAGCAATACGATTATTTTTTTTATCAGTGACAAATTGTTTTCGATTAAACAGGAAATAATGTCCTACGAATATAATTCAACTAGTGCTAGAGTTGTTGTAGCGAAAAAATTGAAAGGGTATTTTGTTGTAACAAAAAAGTTTTGTGTTTTACCGCATTAAATTTTCAAATTATTAGTTAAAATAACTTGAATATCTTCAAATCAAATACTTTTGTATTTTCTATAAGTATTTTAAATAACAGCTACAATACGTATTATTAGTTATTCGTGTTTTTGTTGAAAACAATAAAGTTTTATGAAAATTAACAAGAGCAAGAAAAGTTTAAGAATTAAATTCCCCATAAAATAAAGTAAGTAATAATAGTTTAAATCCGCCAACGGGTTAAAATATTCTGTTACATTTTAATGGTGCATCATCATTTGAAACCCCACTTTCAATTCCTATAAGTTCTCAGGAGTGCAGCTTACAATTAGTACAAATGTAAGTTGCATTAAATCACCACATTTTGGGTTCCCTACATGCCCATGTCGGTTCTTATGCGAAACACCCTGTATAACTATAAATACAGATTTTTAGTGAAATTCAAGGAAATTGTTCAATCAACCATTACAAAGATTTTCACTTTTAGGTGCCTACTAACTATAAAATAACATATCAAGTAGGTACTTTGAACAAATAAAATACTTAATTGAACATATTTTTTCTCTAACATGCATTTACATACAGGTACAAGGTACAGGTACAGGTATTACATTGTCAAGTATTTGTTTTGATTACCTTACAAAGTAGAAAACCCTAAAATATTATGTGTCTACACCAAGTTGTTTCGTTTAAGCGCTACATCTAACGTCGGCAAAAATATTTAACTAACCTGCACGAGAAGTAGAAAGCACGGCGCGGAAAATGCAATTTTCGTCTATGTTTCCAAAATTTTCACCGAGCAATACAGGGGGAGTTCGGTAAAAATGCTCGTTCCCCCCATATTATAGGTAATGGCCAAAGTAATAATAATGATGGTGAAAGGCGACATGGCGCGCAACGTGGGCCCAAATGTCCGAAGCGCCAAGGAAGAATTGTAAAGGATGACATGGCACCCAACGTGAGGCACAAATATCTGATACGCCAACGGAAAAGTGATGAAAGACGACAGTACCAAATATTACCTAAAAGACTTTAAAACGTCACCAGATAGTAATTAGCGAACTCCGACAGATGGACAAATACCAACAAAAACGCACCACTACCAAATTTTGGATAAGTTTTGACTAAAATTTCGTTGACGCCCTGTATCTCAAAAAAAAACAATGTATAGAGGTTAGTGGCATATAGATCATTATTTTTTAAATTTTTTGAGTTCTATAAGTGTCTGGATTTTACGAAATATTATTTCGTTTTTATTATCAAATAAATCAAATTTGTTAAGGTAATTAATCAAAATGTATCAAAAATACGTTTGTGACGATTAATAAAATAATAAATTATGGGAAAATCGTTAGGAATACAACCAATTTACGAGAAGGAACAACTTTATAATAGCCGTCATATGAAAATAATAACTGACGTTGTAAGGCCTGTCGAAAAAAATACGAGAATATTTGCTTAGGGGTGGGGGTATATTTCCCATTTCTGTAGATGTAATTACTTCGGTTACTACGTGGAAAAGCGACATCTATACGCAGGTGTTTACATATTGAATTTCACTAAAATCGGACAAAGCGTTTTAAAGTTATTTGAAAAAAAGACCTAAAATGTTTTGTCAACTTGAGCAACATCTATCGGTTAAGCAAGACAATTTTGTATAGAAACACCATATTGTAAAGTTGCCACACGAATCACCCTGTATTATAAATGTAAAACTACCAAATAGTGTACAAAAAAAGAGTTAAAATTAACATGATGCATTGCTTGAAAACATGTTGACAATACAAACAATCATTTAGTGTGATTTATCTTGAAAAGAGTGTTTTCGTTTCATTATGTCACAGTCTGATTTCCTAAACCTTACAATGTTATTTAAATCATAATGGCGAATAATAAATACCATTAAAAAGAAAACAAACCATGTATACATATACATATATGTATAAACAAACTTATTTGAATATGAGTTTGTTTTTTCTATATAAATCATACCACAAATATTTTCGTCACTTTGGAGGTGCAATAAATCGATTATAACTTTTAAATTTACATCATACTTATTTCATTAAAATTTTTATAACTATGTTAAAAATTACAAACATAGGCATCAGATAATATAGGCATCTACTTATGATAATATAAACTATAAATTACAATTTTATTTACCAAATTATCGAGCAAATTATCCATAAATCTGAAGGATTACTAACAATAAGAAAACTTTTATAGACAGAACATTATCGTCAATGTAATTATAAAAATATGTATAATACTATCGAGGTTTATTATATAATTAACAGCAAAATCAGAGATATAGCTAAGTGTGTAACATAAGTATGGAATAATTTCCTTCGAGTACGAACAAAATAAATGTGTTAATTTTTTAAAAATATGTTTGTTTTTAATAGTTTTGCTAAACAAATTAGTTAAATTAAATCGGAAATGTTGTAAACCTGCTATAAATTGGGTGATTTCTTTTTAATTATAGAATTATTTCTTAGTAAAGATATATCTACATCTTTTGTATTTCCTTGGCGATGATGACATACAACGTGTCCCAAAAATAAGTACCAAAGTTTTAACCATATATTTAGATACAACTGTTGTCTATTTTTTTTTTTTTTTCGAAACCCGACACGGTTGTCCAGTATGTTTTACTCATTAAAACAAAACTAACGGGTCGGCTATGGATTAAAAAAATATCCAAGTATGTATGCGAATGTTGATTAATGCAATGAAGTATTAACAGTTGTGATTGTGCATCATTTCGGGTTTTAGAAACGGTCCTTGAGAACTCTTAGGTTCGTAGGATTTATATGAATCATACAATCATATGAACTGGCAATAATATAATGAATCGCATAGCGAACTTTAAAGATGTACTTTTGGATAATTTTGTAGATAATCCTAGAACCAAATTTTGTCGTAGACGACTTTACAGCACAATGTATCAAAAATTCAGTTTTTATTGCCTCAGGATTATCGTCACTGGTAGCATTTTTGTAACTGAGTACTGCAACGAACGAGTTAAATGATTTCCCACTAAACAAGAAACTTTACATTAAACTTTAGCCGAGTTGCGTTTATTTTAATTACGTTATTTTACTTTGTAACGTTATTGCATGTTTGCTAGAATATTTCATAGCAGTACTGTACTTAGAAAGTTTGTTGGAAGCGAACCACAAAGGTTTCAAATTTTGGTACTTATTTCTGGGACACCCTGTATACATTGCATATATTTATATATACAGTATATCCACGGATTGAGTTTACAAGAGGACAAATGGACCAAAAAGTGAAAGATACGAAAAAAAGGCATTATAAAAACATTGACCGAAACATCCTGTATAAAGATAGTATAATGGCTATAAAACACTTAAATTCATATGAATTAGATTTTATGGAATTAATACTTTTTACATTTGACCCTATATTGATTATAATCATGGGCGTAGCTAAGGGAGAGCATCAGGGTGTGTACGGCCCACCCCAGAAAAAAGATCTAATATTATCGTCATATCGCGGTAAGTCGCTGACTGCGTGACCTTTTTTTTAGAATGAAATCAAACCGTGTTCAGGTTTTTGAAATTATATTCGACAAGTTGCTGATTGCGAAATCTTATTTTTTTATACGCTCAATACAGCTTGCAGTCCTGGGCCCACCCCAAGCAAAAAGTCTAGCTACGCCAATGATCACGCCATAAGAAATACTCGTTTAAAACTGTGGGGTTATTATAAGAGACCTTTTATACGACAGTATTTTTTTCTTAAAAGGAAATACTTAAAGACCTGTTTAGTAAAATTAATTCCATGGCAATCGTGTCTTTAACCATTGCGGAAGGTCAGTAAATAAACCAAAATATTGTGTGAACCGTTAAAGCAAAAGGGAGGGGGTAATTTCTTTGCCTTATTTCATGACTAAAGTCATATAAACGTAAATCCGCAAACGCTTCGTTTCCGATCAACAGGGTGTTGAAATTTCATTTTTTCGTTTTTTCTTTATAGCTCCTGCAGTTTTTGAGATATTTAGCTCAAATTTGGAATGTAGGTTGCGCTGTGTAAGGCTTACATCGTTAGGCTTGCCAAATGGTTGTGAAAGAAATTTGATCTCTTTTTTATGGCAAAGAGAAGTAATTATCGATGGTTGCTTAAATATTAGAACAATAATTTGAAATGATTTATAGTAATATTTCGAAGCATATTCTTGTTTCTCGAATAGCAATACATTTTACTACAAAATACAATATTTTAGAAGTACTTTGGCTTAGAAAGTAGCGCAAGTCTTCAAATGTTTGTTTACCAGCCTTCTTATAACAATAGTTTTGTTTTATTATGCATCATTAAGACTTTAAAGGGTTACCTACTTACCTACTTACTAAACCGATAGTATTTGTTTTCTTGTAGCGAATACAGAGAGATGAAATAAAGCACAAACAATTCAAACGTAACTCTGCATTGATGCACTTAATTTTTCAGTTTATATGAGAACGAAGAAAAACGAATTTCAAAAAACGGTTCCGCGGGAACTAGTTTCTAGCAGAACGATTTCTCGCGGACTACCTACTTATTGTACTTGACTGAGTCGAGAACACCTGCCCGGGAAAAAATCAAACTGTACGTATAGGTAACCTTGATCGCTTGCACGCTATTCTTCGGCCAGACCGTAAAGCGGAAAAGTAAGGGTGAGTAAGAGTTGAACATTTTTTTGTCGCGTTTTTTTGCGCGGGCAGGAATTTTGAAAGGCAATTTGTACTTATGCAAAGCTGTGCGGTGTGTCACACCCGAAAACTAATCGGACGATATGGGTGGCGGAAAACATTTGAAAATTTGTTTTCTTGGTCAGCTGATTACAAGCTTCTGGTAGTTGTAAAATAGGTTTTAGCGTTATTTTATTTTTATTCAACTACGTAATAAGCTCATTTTAGACTAAAAAAAAATAATAACTCGAATAAAGATATTTTTATTGTTCACAATGTCATTTAAATATTTCCTATAGCTTTATTTTGTTTTGTATATATTTCTATAGGTTCACGCGAGCAAAATGTTAACTACCTATTTAAATTGAATAAATACTATTCTGAATTAACGTCCCGATTTTTTTTTTGTTAGAATCTAGCTTTGTTGACAAAATCGTCCTTAAAAAAAGATAAAAAAACAGTTGGCAACCATATGTAGACTCGATTTCATTGATTTTATAAACAACGCTGAAATTTCCCTGTTCCTAAAATTAACCGTTTTCAAGATATTTATTTTTTTCAAAAAAATGGTGAGAAACAGTGACTAGCTTCAAACCATGAGTATTTTATAGTAAGAAAGATAACGCACCAATATTTATAGGGGGGAATAGCTAGACCCCTAAGCTTCCCATCCATACTTTCAAAGTGGCCCCACTAAACATTTTTCAGTTTCTGACATGTTCCAGAAACGTTTCCATTTTTCTTGAAACGTTTCATAAAAAATCCATGCAACGTTCTGGTAATCCAATAGAAACCGAAGATGTCCTCCCCAAAATACGTTTCCAATGAAACGTTTCAAAAAATTGGTTTCAGTAACATTCTTTTGATGTTCCATTTATGCACTCGATATTTTTGTTTTACGTTTCAGTTCAGTATATTTTCTGAAATGTTTGAGTAACATAATAATTTTATTTATACCATATTCTCATAATGCCCTCAACTTTAGATAATTTCCATTTCAGAAGCGTTTTTGAAACAGTATAGTGTGAGTAATTTTTTAAATATTTCTAATACTCTTTTGTAATATTTTTATTTGTATTGTGAATGACTTAATTCGTAATCCAGACAATTTTTTCTGATTTCTCAAAAAATTTAACTGAAAAATGTTATTGTATATTAAAAAAAATAACTGCTCTTCTAGTTTGGGGATGCAGCAACTTTTATCAAGAATTTTTTTCTTTTTGAGAAGCCACTGAAAAAGTTTCTAATATGGATTACGGATTCTGCCATTCATCGTACAAATAAAAATGTCACAAAACAATATCAGAAGCATTTTAAAAAAGCTACACATCATTTTATATTGTTCAAATACGCTTCTGAAATGGAAATTTTCTAATGTTGAGACCATCATGAATATGGTAACAATGAAGAAATGATAATTAAAAAAATTAGTTATGATAATGAATCTTGAAATGGTAGGTACATGAAAAACAAATAACATTACTG